AAGATGGCAGTATAGATAAACACAGTACTTGCTTCCTCACACAACCACATCAAAATTACAATTAAACTACAGAATAACCATCATTCAGAACTGCCTGAAAAACTGGCTAAATGGAAGTCCTACAACTAGGGAATTAAAGAATAAGCCAATCAAGGTGGGTAGGAGGGGCAAAGACCAGAAGGGCTGATCCCATACCCACTTGTGGCAGATAAAAATCAGAAGGGCTATTTCAGCTGCAAAGATCCCCCTTGAAGAGCAAGGGGCTCAATCCCCACACCAAGCCTGCCAACTCAGGGGTCTAGTGCCAGGAGAAGTTTCCATAACTTCTAGCTGAAAAAACCAGCAGGGATTAAGGCTGCAACTGAAGACTACTGGAGTCCCAGGCTGTTCCTCTTATAGGGCCTACACACAGACTTACTCACACTCACTCCCATGGAGCACCAGTGTGAGGAAAGATGCTTAAAAAGCACCAGAGGTATACAGAGAGGAACTGAATTGTCCAGCATCAGGATGAGAGCCATAGAGCAGCTTTCTCCCAGACAGAAGGGCTGGCAGAAGCCATTATTCCTTTTATCATATGCCCCCTACTCCCACAGAGCCAGCAGGAAGACACCATATCTGAGTCTCCATCAACCTGGCTCACAATGTTTTCCCCACCCTGGTGATTCCCTGAAGCCCCATCCCACCCAACTTTCAGGCCCACCCATGCTATTTCTTGTGGCTTTTTCATACAAATGGCTTGTCTTGGCTTATGCTTCAAATTTTCCTAAAATCTCTCAAACAAGCAACATTATGCCTCACTGTTCCCCGTACTTCTCACTAAGTTGCCCCAAGCCTGGCAGCAGTTGGCCTTTGTTTGCAGCTGGGCACCTCCTTTGGCCTTGCCTGGGCACCTCCAAGTCCAGCACAAGTAGCAGCCATCTGCAGATGGCTTTATAGGGCATGCCGTAGGGCTCCAGGCAAAACATAGGTAACAGCTTACCTTAGCCTGCACCTCCCAGGAGATCTTACAGCCAGCACACCCAGTCTACAGTTTCAGACCACATAGAATTATCACCATCCAACTACATCCACAAGGGGAACACTCAAAGGGTGTATTCCACAGGCTCCAAAGCCCTGCTGAAGTAAGTCCTACTCTGTGGGGTGGGCCCCTGCATAGCTGATCCTTCATGGTGGTTAGAGGTTTGAGGTCACAGCCATTCCTTGCAACTGGTTGGCCTGAGAATAAATCCCCCCATTGAGATGCCAACAGCAATGGAGGCTCACCTACAACAGGAGGGTATACACAGCCCACACAGGCGATGCACCTTGAGTTCCCAGCTTGTGTGATTGAGGAGAATGTGCCTCTGGACTCTACAGAACACCTACTGAATTAGAGCACTCTAGCAAGCCTGGGCAACATGAAAGCTCCATATAATACACAAAACCAAACACATTTTGGAGGCTGCCAAAATGAGGAGACAAGAAACTTGTCCCAAATGAAAGAACAGAACAAAACTTCAGAAAAAAGGAGCTAAATAAAATGGAGACAAATAACCTACTACATGCAAAGTTCAAAATACTGGTTATAAGGATGCTCAATGAATTTTGTGAGAACATCAACAGAAAAAGAAAATAGTACCAGTCATAAATGAAAGATACACTAACTGAAATGAAAAATAATTTACAAGGAATCAACAGTAGAGAGGATGAAGCTGAGAATCAAATCAGTGATTTGTAATATAAGGAAGCAAAAAACACCCAACCAGAACAGGAAAAAATATATTCAAAAAATGAAGATAGTACAAGGAGACTCTGGGACAACTTCAAGCATTCCAACATTTGTGTCATAGAGGTGCTGGGAAGGGGAGAGAGAGAGCAAGGGATTGAGAGCCGTTTTGAAGAAATAACGACTGAAAACTTCACTGCTCTGGTGAAGGAAATAGACATACAAGTCAGGAAGCAGAGAGTCCCAAACAAGATGAACCCAAAGAGGCCCACACCAAGACACATCATAATTAAAATGCAAAAGGTTAAAGACAAAGAGAGAATCTTAAAAGCAGCAAGAGAAAAGCAGTTAGTTACTTACAAGGGGGCTCCCATAAGACTGTCAGCTGATTTCTCAACAGAAAATTTTCAGGCCAGAAGGGAGTGGCAAGAAATATTCAAAGTGATGAAAAGCAAGAACTTACAACAAAGATTAGTCTACCCAGCAAAGGTATCATTTGGAACCAAAGGTCAGATAGTTTACTAGACAAGAAAAAGCTAAAGGAGTTCAGCACCACCAAACCAGTATTATATGAAATGTCAAAGCATCTTATTTAAGAAGAAAAAAAGATAGAATATATGAACAATAAAATGGCAATAAATGCATATCTATCAATAATTGAATCTAAAAAACAATAAATGAACAAGCAGAACAGACACAAACTCATAGATACAGAGAATATTTTGATAGTTGCCAGGTGGGAAAGGGGTTGAGGGGATGGATAAAAAAGGTGGAGAGATTAAGAAGTACAAATTGGTTGTTACAGAATAGTCATGGGGATGTAAAGTACAACATAGGGAATATAGTCAATAATCCTATATAATAAAAGCCTAATATGCTAAGTGTCCAGTTGTCTGGTCATCTGTTCAACCAATCAAAGCATAATATGCTAATAATATGCTAAGGCTACTCAACTGCTTGCTATGACGTGCACTGACCACCAGGGGGCAGATGTTCCAACCAGTAGGTTAGCCTGCTGCTGGGTCAGGCAGATCAGGACTGAGCCAGATGGGCCGGACATGCCCTGAAGCCCTCCCACAGTACCTCCCTGGCTGACCAACCTCCCGCATCCCTTCCTGGCCCAGCGATCATGCACTGGTGGGGTCCTGGCCTACACCCTCTCACAATCCAGGACCCCGCAGGGGATGTCGAAGAGCTCGTTTGGGACTGATCCCACCTAACGCAGGAGCTGCCCCCTGATGGTCAGTGGGCTCCCACAGAAGCTGGCTCATGGCTGGTGGGTACAGTGATGGTGGTGGGAGCCTCTCCCACCTCGGTGGCAGTGCTAAGGATGTCTGACTGCTGGCTTAGGCCCACTCCAATCAGATGTCCCCCAAAGGCTCCTGGACTGCGAAAGGGTGCAGGCTGGTCTGAGGGACCCCCCATTCTAATAACTATGTGTGATGTTTGATTGGTGTGAGATTTATGAGGATGATCACTTTGTAAGTTAAGAAATGTGTAATCACTGCAGTGTACACCTGGAACTAATATAATAATGTATGTCAATGCTAATTAAAAAATAAAAATTATCTAATTAAAAAAAGTAAAATAATTTTTAAAAGAATGAAATTGGCATTTCTTCTTCTGATACATACTGAGAAAGTACCCACTTGTGGTCATTTTGGGTTATGGAATTCAGTTGGTGACCATAAGTGTCATAAAGTTAATCAGCCTCTCAAAACAAACAGATTAAATAAGCAAAAATTGTTATGAATAAGTTTATGTCAATTACCTTCATTTTCAAAAAGTTTTCAAATATATATAACACAAGATATATATATATATTGGGCTTAATAATATGACTTGAAAAATAATGCTGATTCCTACTGGTGTCCCTTTTCACTGAGGTAAATTACTAACCACAATCTACTATTATTATTCTCTATATCCTTAAATTTCTATAATCTTAACCTCTTAGCCATCACAGCATCAGGAAGTATACAACTGAAAAGTCCAACCTCCGTCCACTTTCCTTTACTCTCCTTTGAAGTCATTAACTTCCAAGACTTTAGGTACCACACTGAAGAACACAAATCTTGTCATAGAGTTTTTTCATTCTTGCCAAGGGATGATCACATGCCTTCAACCTTTTACTTCCCCCTGAAATTCTTTTCTTTTAATGTTCTTTTTTTAATTTTATTATTATTATTTGTTGTTATTGTTGTTAATCCTCACCCAAAGATATTTTTTCATTGATTTTTAGAAAAAGTGGAAGAGAAGGAAAGACAAAGAGAGAAACATTGAAGTGAGAGAAACACATTGATTGGTTGTCTCCTGCACAAGCCCCGACCAAAGCCTGGCTGGGTTGGAGCCTGCAACCAAGGTACATGCCTTTGACCAGAATCAAACCCGGGACCCTTTGGTCCACAGGCCGATGCTCTATCCACTGAGCCAACCCAGTTAGGACCCACTGAAATTCTTAATCAGTATATTTTCAAAGGCCAGACTTTGCTAGACTTTATACCTCGTAATTGGCAATGCCAAACAGATGAGAAACAACTTCTGATATTCCAACAGTGAAATTATATGAAAAGAGAATACAAAAGAAACAAGGATGGCATTTGTGAGAAATTGACAAAAGTTACTATCCCACCGATTTTGAAGATTTCTGATATGAATTTACAGAATTTCAGATATCAAAAAATAGGAATCTATTGTTATAATTGGGGAAAAATAAAATGAGCTCTACTTTAAAACAAATAGAATTTGACATGTAGATTTAGCGTCTCCTCTCTTTTTATAGTCCTTGGAGAAATACTAAAAATTTTGAAGTTATTCACTCTTCCTTCTGCAATACTTCTAATAAGTTACTAAAATCTGCATAAGCATGCAGTATTCTAAGCGATTCGCCATCCTAATCACTTCCTCCTTCCTAAATGGGGCACTTAAAAATGAAGGAACATAACCGGCATGGGATGGAGCCAAGAAGAAAGATTCGAAGAAAACTACCTTAAAATTACCAAGTTGGGAAGGTAGTAAGTATGTGAGAAGGAAGTAAGTCATCCAAAGGACTTCACTGTTACTTTGAATTATTAGAAGATAAAATGCTGAATGAAAAGTAAATCTCTCCTGTACCATGTCCCAACTCTCGTATCCAATCATTAAAGTATGTCCATCTCATGCTGGCTCAGCAAGTCCCTGAGCAGCTCTACAATATGTAGTAAGAACACCATGGCTTCTACTATGTCAGAATCCAAAATCTTTCCGATGCAGTTCTCTTCCCTAGTGACTCACAGAGTTTGTGTTCAGCTCCTCATGCAGTTCCCAGCACTGTGGCACTCACAGCACAGAAGTACTCAGCTGAGTCACTCCAATGAGCGAAGTGTTTCCTCAGGTTGAAGGTCGACTCATTCTTCCTAAGTTCAGCCTCAAAATTCTTAATGCCTTTCACCAAGGTGTCCCCTGAAAGGTACTTGAGTACAAGCTGGAGACCTTGCCTGGGGTCTTGGACATACCAGTAGAGATAAACAGTTCCAGTGTAAGAATACTTGCACCTCAGCTCCAGCGAGGCTCCTTCAGAAACACTGATGTGGTTGTCAGGCTGGTCCACTGACTGGGCCCTGGCATCTCCTGCAAAATCAATGTTGTATCAGTGAAAGCAGTACAGACTTGACTTGGAAAAGTACTTCTGCTAAAATTCAAACAAGAAAACAGTTACTTCTGTGTAACCAGAGACCATAATCGACTACTACTCACTCAGGGTGAAAAGCATCCCCAGGACTGGGACGAACAGCAGGAGCATGTCTGAGCAGTGGAAACGCCTTGGCTTCTTTCTGGACGATCTCCCTTCAGCATGCAGGAAAGCAGCTGTGGGATTCAGCTCTCAGGAATAGGAGGTGTGAGTAAGATTAGGCTAGATAAGTCCCTGGTTCAGGGACACAAAAAACTGCTAGATTATCTCGCATGCTTTCTAATCTCTGATTCTTCTCACTTGTCTCTATCTTCAAAGAACTCAGGGAGGATGCTTCAATAGGCAGCTGCAGGAAGTAGGAGCTGAGGGGAAGGTGCTGATCTTCAGGGATCTCTCTTTTGTGCAACATCGCCCTCTGGAGACCAGACACAGGACCAAAGATCCAGACTCTCCAAGGGAAACTAACGTTTTCTTTCCACTTAGAGATGGATCACAAGTTCCATGAACATGTTTTTTTCCTACCAAATATATTGTTAGGGGAAGAAATAGAATAGTGGGGACTAGCTATAATTATAAGAATAGTAATCATGCTCTGTTAACTGCGATTGTTCTGTTCGGATTAGAGAAAGCACATTCTAACCTGGCTGAGAGTTGTACGCCCCGGAACACGGGAATTAACCTCGGAATGCAGTCAGTCCATTCTCCTTTTCTGATAACTGCCTATCATCGTGGAAAGATTAACAATCTTGTTGTTGAAACAATTTGGTCCCAGAGGTGCCCACCCAAGCCCTCATTGCCTGTAACCTGTAACCATTATACCTTGCCTACTTCCCTGTAATTTCTACTTTCCCATATAATCTTTGTCCTTCTACCTAATATAAGCAGCTGGCTTATGGGGAGGGGTAGAGCAGATTTTTGTGGATGAGCTGCTGCTCTCCCATACTGCTGGCATTCTTGGAATAAGCGCTCATATATGATTCAACTTTGTCTCTGCTTAATTGGCTCAAGTAGCAACAAGCAGCCCAGAACTATTGGTTGTCCGGTTTCGATATGATATATCACTCTCTATAGATTTTATTAATCCTTGACTGAATGAAAAATGGGGCCTATAAAATAGAGAAGTAGTTTACTTTACAAAGAAACTGATTATACAATAAGTCTATCAGACTTTGGAGTACATTAGAGCCTTCATGTAAAAGCAATGGAGCCATTCTTTAAGCCAGTGGTTCTCAATCTTCCTAATGCCGCGACCCTTTAATACAGTTCCTCATGTTGTGGTGACCCCCAACCATAAAATTATTTTTGTTGCTACTTCATAACTGTAATTTTGCTACTGTTATGAATTGTAATGTAAATATCTGATATGCAGGATATATTTTTATTGTTACAAATTGAACATAATTAAAGCATAGTGATTAATCACAAAAACAATATGTAATTATATATGTTTTTTCCGATGGTCTTAGGCCACCCCTGTGGAAGGGTCGTTCAACCCTCAAAGGGATCGCGACCCACAGGTTGAGAACTGCTGCTTTAAGCAGAGATAATCAGATCAACCTCACTAGGCTGTGCTTTGGATGGCCTTGCTGGCAGTAAGCATCAGATTGAGAAGAAGACGTGCTAGGGTGTGAAGATATTTGCCTTAGCTGATGAAATTAAAAATAAAATCAGTTGTACACACACACACACACACACACACACAAATCAAATTAGAGCACAAGCTCTCACCTATAAAAATGAAGTAAGAGTATCTTTGTCTAATTCAAGCAGAATTATGAAGATGCAGTGGCTTTTGATCAACAACAATAATATAATATTCAGATAAAAAAGTGAAATCCCATTTGGTATCTGTTTAGAATGACTGGGAATATTACCCCCCCCCCCCAATTCTGGATACCACATTATCAAGACAATAGTGATAGACTTGAATATCTACAGACAAAACAGTAGAATGATGAAGTCACTGCACAATAAAAACATAAGCAATTTTGGAAATAATTAAGGGCACAGTAAAAATATATCTGCATTACCCGGAATCCTAGAGTGCCACCAGCAGACCAGAGCTAAGAAAAACTTCTGAGAGGAATAAGATATGGAAGCAATTTGATAATTAAATCTAACATAAACACTCAACAATTTTATATGGATGAAAGTCAGGTCTTACTTATAAGATGAGGGTAGTATTGGATTATGGCCAAATAGCAAGATGTAATTCTGAAAGAAGCTTTTTCTCCCACCCACTTCAGCTGAAAAAGTAACCATCACACCAGGAGATCAATTTCAGGGAACATGAGTGTGGGGGAGGAAAAATAGCTGCCCCTCTACCCTTCCAGGTTCTTGGCTGAGATCCCTGTAATAAAAGACAGATTAACAGTAGAAAAGCAAACAAAAGTAAATAACATGTATACCTTCTATATACATAGGAGAGACCCAGGAAACCAAGTAACTCCTGAAAATCACCCAAGTTATCACCTTAAGCACCATCTTCATCTCAAGACCAAAAAATAAAAAGATGTTGTGGGGAGGGCAGCCAGTTATGGGAGGCTTTCAGACAAAGCACAATAAACAACGATATGGTTGTTATGCAGATTTAAGTTAACACCTCTTCCCTTCTCTGTTCCTAAGTGTTTCTAGAGACTGTCATCCTCCTCTTCCGGGCACACTTACAAATGAAGATTACCCTTATAAATGCAAATGTCTCTTATAAAAAGCTAACTTCTACTCAGAGCTTCCGTGTCTGCTGATTCTTAAAATAATCCGTTCAAAATAATCCTTGTGTAAAAGAGAGACATTTGGGGTGGCACATTCTGCTGCAGTCCAATAGAAATGACATTGTGGGGTAAAAAGAAAAAAATTATCAACTCAGAGCCCATCCCCTAACATGAGAAGGTGCAAGGTCTCTCTTTTCAAAAGTTATACGTAGACACAGTCAACTGATACCACACACATAGTAAACAAAGGCTCTAAATCTATCTGTGATGCTTATAACTTACTAGAGACCCGGTGCACAAAAATGTGTGCACTCGGGGTAGTGGGGGGGTCCCTCAGCCAGGCCTGTGCCCTCTCGCAGTCTGGGACCTCTCAGGGGATGACCACCTGCTGGCTTAGGCCCACTCCCCAGGGGATTGGGCCTAAGATGGCAATCAGACATCCCTCTGGCAGCCTGGCAGCCCTCAGGGGATGTCCACTTGCCAGCGGGGAGCAGGCCTAAGCTGCAGTTGGACATCCTTAGCGCTGCTGAGGAGGCAGGAGAGGCTCCCACCACCACCGCTGTACTGGCAGCCATCAGCCTGGCTTGTGGCTGAGCAGAGCTCCTCCCATGTGAGATCGCCCTGACCACCAGAGGGCAGCTCCTGCATTGAGCGTCTGCCCCCTGGTGGTCAGGGTGTGTCATAGTGACCAGTCATTCCCAGTCTTTCTGCTGTTAGGTCAGTTTGCATATTACCCTTTTACTATATAGGATAGAGGCCTGGTGCACGGGTCGGGGCCAGCTGGTTTGCCCTGAAGGGTGTCCCGGATCAGGGTGGGGGTCCCGCTGGGGTGCCTGGCCAGCCTGGATGAGGGGATGATGGCTGTTTGCAGCTGATCACACCCCCTTCAGGGTGGGGGTCCCCATTGGGGTGCCTGGCCAGTCTGGGTGAGAGGCTGAGGGCCGTTTTCAGGCTGGTGGGTGACTGAAGCTCCCAACCTCTCCTTTTTTCTTTTTTTTTTTATCCTGGGATTTATTTACCTTCTATGGCTGTCACTGGAGCTGAGAGCCGGCTTTAGCTCTGCGACTCAGCTCCAGCTCTGGGACCTCGGCTGCTGAAAGCAGGTATTTGGGCTTTGTTTAGCTTCTATAATTGAAACACTGTTGCAACTCCAGCTCCAAGGCCGGCTGGCTGAAAGCAGGTTTCTGGGGATTGTTTAACTTCTATAATTGCAGCATAGTTGCTTAGAATGCAGCTCAGAGGCCGGCTGCGGCAGGCAGGGAACCTTGGCTTCCTCCATCACTGAAGCAAGCAAGCCTCCTGTTCGCTTCAGCTGCCTGGCTGCCGGCCTCCATCTTGGTTGGCAGTTAATTTGCATATCTTGTTGATTAGCCAATGGGAAGGGTAGCGAAGTTACGGTTAATTACCATGTTTCTCTATTATTAGATAGGATGGCATGTTGGCCAATATGGCATGCTTATCTGTTCACAAGATGACTAATAACAAAAAATACAGGTCAATTTTTTTTATCCTATTCTTATCATATCATTATATCATCATTATTTGGTGCTGTTTAGAAGGATCTCAAAAAATACGGGGTTATTTTTTATCTTGAGGAATATATTTGTAATTGTTTAAGAGGAATGTGTTTAACTCTATATTTCTCATGCTGTTCTGACTTAGTCACAAAAATCTGGACAGAATTAACTGTCGTAGAAAATAATAATAATAAATAAAGCAAATCCTCTTTCCTTGGTCTCAGGCATTCTTCAAGGCATTTTGTTTTGTTTTATTTTATTTTTTTCTAATCCTCATTTGAGGATATTTTTATTGATTTTTCTTTAGAGAGAGAGAGGAAGGGAGAGAAAACAGCAACAACAAATAAATAAAAATAAAAAGAGAGCCCAGGGTGGGGGGCAGAAAGTAAGAGAGAGACATTGTTGTGAGAGAGAAACA